GGATGAACACAGCAGGCCAAGCAGCATCATAGGAGCAGAAAGGCTGATGTTTCGGGCCTAGAGCCTTCATCAGAAAAGGGGGTCTAGGCCCGAAACGTCAGCCTTTCTGCTCCTATGATGCTGCTTGGCCTGCTGTGTTCATCCAGCCCTGCACCTTGTTGTCTCATAAAATTTGTTTACCCTGCTGTGTGTACCACAAAAAGACATAGATTAAGACTGGACAATATCCAGATTTCACCTGAAAAGTGACAAGTAACATCTGAGAGGCAATAAACATCTCCAAAAAGAGAAAATCTAGTCACTGGCACTTGACAATCAATTGCATTACCATCACTAAATCCTCAAGTTTATAACTGACCAGAAACTGAACAGGACTAGTCACAAAAATACAGTGGCTACAACAGCAGATGAGAGGCTCGGAATACCGCAGTGAGTAACTCACCTCCTGACTCCCCAAAGCCTGTCGATCATCTACAATGCATGAGCCAGGATTGTGATAGAATTCCTGCTTGTCTGGATGAGTGCAGCTCCAACAATACTCAAGAAGCTTGAAACTATCTAGGACAAAGCCTGCTTGATTGTCACTACATCCATAATCATTCGGTCCCTCCACCACTGATGCTCAGCAGCAGCAATATGTACTGTCTACAAGAAACAGTGTAGAAATTCACCAAAGATGCTTAGATAGCACCACAACCACCTCTCTCTAGAAGGACAAGGAAACCAGCTATATGGTTACATCATCACTTGGAAGTTCCTGATTTGGCAATATATAGTTCTTCCTTCACTGTCATTGTAATAGTCCCTATTAACATTACAGATCTACCTACAGAACACGTACTGCAGGATTCAAGAAGGCAACTCATCACCACTTTCTGAAGTGCAAGTAGGGACAGGCAATTATTGGCCCAGCCAATTATGCCCACATTTCACAAGTGCTTATATGAAAAAGAGCTTTCTACATTTCAACAAATTGATTCTTTTTTATGAACTCCAATTAATATAGGCCCAATCTGCTTAACATTCATTCAATCTTGCAGAAAAACACATCAGCAACAGTGTGCAACATTAACAAGATGCACGGTAACAACTCATGGCTTCTTCAACAGCATCCTCAAAACATGTGACCTGTATGAGGGATAAGGGCAGCAGATATATGGGAACACCACCCTAATATAAATCTATGTCACTGTTTCTTCAATGCCACTTTGTCAAATCCTAGAACTGACTAACACTTCTGCGGTCCATGCAGTGACTTACAAAACCAAATCACCATTGACCTCTGCACAACAATTAGGAAAGGTGATAAATACTGGCCATGAAAGTGACGCCACCGTCTCATGGAAGAACCTTCAATGTTTGTCCCTCATAAGGCAATACATAAACTGCAAGAATCAGCTGACTGAACATTTTCTGAACTGCTTGCCACACAAGTATATCCCATTTTAATCAAGGATGTCAAAACTCTATTAATTTAATAATTATTGTCTCACCAATGCTCTGCACACATGTAGCAAGATCTCCCCATTTTTGTATTTTGTTTCCCATGCAATAACAGCCAACATACCATTTGCATTTTGAAGCACATACATGCTGTATTTAAACGCTATTGTTTTATTATTCTTTTACACTGCATCAGGTCCCTCCGTACAGCAGCATTTTGATGGAAAATGCCCTTTTAATTAAAATTTTGCTTTTCAATTCTTCTTGTCAACGTGGACTACTGCATGTTTTCCCATATTATGACTTGATCTCCCAAATTTTATCCAACCACTTAACCTATCTCTATCACCATGCAGATTCTGTATCTTCACAACATGTTTTCTTACCAACCAGTATCTTCAGTAAATCTGGCAACAAAGTACTTAGTCACTTCATCTCAGTCAATAACATAGATCATAAATTATTGAACTTGAGCGCAAATCATCAGGCCCTGCCAATGTTACAGCCTTGCCAACTTAAAAATGATTCATTTGTGTCAAGTGTGCTGATTGTTCATTCGGCATCGTCTCCCCACACTAACTATCACCCACAAACTTGTACAATCTGTAGTAATCTTTCGCAAGGACCTTTCCTCTATCCTAAGATCAGAAGTGGGGATGATTGCCAATGAATGTATATTGTGCATCACATTTGCAACTCCTCAGATACTAAAGCAGTTCATATCTAAATGCAACAAGATCTGGCCAATATCCAGGCTTAGGCTGACAAGTGCAAAAAAAATCATGTGACACACAATCCAGACAATGATCATTTGCAATAAGAGACAATCAAACCATCGTAACCTTGACATTCAATGATGTTCCCATCTCCCACTATTAACATCCATCGTCAGACAAATACAGTGGCTGCAAGAACAGATGAGGGGCTAGGAATACTGTGGAAAGTCACTCACATCCTGATTCCTGAAAGCCTGCCCACCATCTACAGCTACAAGTCAGGAGTGTAATAGAATGTTCTCCACTTGCCTGGATGAGTGCAGCTCCAACAACACATGAAAATACAGAACATAGTACAGTACAGCACAGCACAGGCACTTTGGCGCACAATGTTGTGCAGACCTATTATCTTACTCCAAAATCAAACTAATCCGCATACCCTTCATTTTACTATCATCCATGTGCCCATTCAAGAGTGGCTTAAATGTCCCTAATGTATCTGACTCTACTACCACCTCTGGCAGAGCATTCCATGCACCCACCAC